TCTCCCACTCCCCCTGCCTGGGTTCTCTCTCTCGCTGTGTCTCACTCTGTCAAATAAATAAATAAAATCTTAAAAAAAAAAAAAAATGAAGATAAGTACTGATATGCAGAAATTACCCTTCATATAGCCAGATTTACAATTTTGCCAGCCCATTAAGAAAGGCTTTTATATTTACACATAAACACAAAAAATGCATTCCTGACACAAAACACCTGGCTTTTTAAAGTTTGGAGAGATAATATTCTTCATACTTGGCCCCATGAATAGTTATTTCTCTTGCACAAAAGATATCAAAAAATTAAATCTTTATTGTGACCATCTCAAAATGGAGAGCTGTCAACTCTATCTTAAAGAACACATTTTGGGGGGGGCACTTGGGTGGCTCAGTCAGTTAAGCATCTGCCTTCAGCTCAGGTCATGATCCCAGGGTCCTGGGATGGAGCCCTGCATGTGGCTCCCTGCTCAGCGGGGAGCCTGCTTTTCCCTCTCCCTCTGCTGCTCCCCCTGCTCATGCGCTCTCTCACTCTGTCTGAAATAAAAATCTTAAAAACAAAACAAAAAAAAAGGAACACATTTTTTCCCCAGAGTACTTTCATCACAATTTCTTGCATAGACTGGATGATATGTCTCTGTTGATAATACATAGGTCTGAATAAAGGTTTCCACAATTTTTCTTCTGTGCATTTAAAAAAAAATATTTTATTTATTTATTTGAGAGTGAGCAAGAGAGGGAGAGCACAAGCAGGGGCAGAGGGAGAGGGAGAAGCCGACTTCCCGCTGAGCAGGGAGCCAGACACCAGGCTCTATCCCAGGACCCCGAGATCATGACCGGAACTGAAGGCAGATGCTTAACTGACTGAGCCACCCAGGCACCCCTCTTCTGTGCATTTTTCAAACTGTATTTTAAGAATCATAATCAAAACCAAATATACACATATCAATTCCAAAACCAACAAAACTGGCTAGTATATGTCCATGTAGACATTTTAGTAAGTTGACTAACTGCTTCATGAGAGGTTACGTAGTATAATAGAGGGAACCTTTGCAGTGGAGGCAGAATAACACAGATCTGAGTGGAAATCATGGTTCCATCACTTGCTAGCTATGTGACTGACCTTGGGCAACTTCCTTCTCTTAGTCTAAGTTTTTTTATTTGCAAAATGAGATAATAATTCCAATCTTGTGAGGATTAATTGTATGTGAAATGCCCAGCACAGAGCTGGACTCAAAGCAGGAGCTCAGGAAACAGTTACTGTTATTACCCTGTTGTTATTCACGTAAGCCCCTTAAAGGCAAAGCACACTTTTTCTTGTAACTCAATTGTAGGCTCTGTAATTACTGAGAACTGAGAAAATAAAGGCAAGGAACATCAAAGTTACAAATAAGGATATGGGGGGCACCTGGGTGGCTCAGTCAGTTAAGCATCTGCCTTCAGCTCAGGTCATGATCCCAGGGTCCTGAGATGGAGCCCCGCATTGCACTGCATCGGGCTCCCTGCTCAGTGGGGAGTCTGTTTCTCCTTCTCCCTCTGGTCCTCCCTCCCCCGGCTTGTGCTCTCTCTTCTCTCGCTCGCTCTCTCTCTCAAATAAATAAATAAAATCTTTTAAAAAAAATGAGGATTTGGTATAATATCAGTTCAACACATGCCTAGATAGGAGACTATGAAGCAATAATGATGACCTTTAGACATATATATCAAAATGAACAATATCCTTAGCATATCAAAATAAACAATGCCCAGGCGCCTGGGTGGCTCAGTCGTTAAGCGTCTGCCTTCGGCTCAGGTCATGATCCCAGGGTCCTGGGATCGAGTCCCACATCGGGCTCCCTGCTGGGCGGGAAGTCTGCTTCTCCCTCTCCCACTCCCCCTGCTTGTGTTCCCTCTCTCGCTGTGTCTCTCTCTGTCAAATAAATAAATAAAATCTTTAAAAAAAATTAAATAAAAAAATAAACAAATAAACAATGCCCTTATTTTTATAAGCCCCTCTGAAAGGAGATGATGCTGCCTGTGTACAATTCACGTACAGAACCACTCTTCGTTCCACAAGTATTTCCAGAATGTCCATACAACTAACTGCCAGTCATTATGCTAGGCAACGTACATTATGATAGTGAGCAAAAGCAGACACAGTTGTGATCCTCATGGAGCTTCCAGTCATGCAATCCCACAAATAGTGTAAACTTGTGGTAAGTGATATAAAGGACAGTACATGGTACTCTAAGAGCCAGTAACACAGATCTAAACTAATTGGGGAGATCAAGGAAGGCCTTCCTGAGGAAGCAAAAGCTAAGAGCTGAAGGCTGAAGAGGGAGTTAACAGTTGAGGCTGTTTCCAGACAGGGGAAAGCAGTTTGTGCAAAGACTCGGTAGCAGGAAAAAACAGCAAGAATAAGGGACCAAAGGGCCAGGGTGTTGAGAGGAAAGATGAGGTGTGAGAATTAGCTAGGGCTCTAGACCACACAGGGGCTGAGGCATTGTAGATCATGTTCAAGAGTTGTAATATCCCAAGAGAAGTGAAAAGCCACTGAAGGGTTTTATAAATGCTCATTTTAGGGAGAGACTAAAGGGAAGATGCAATTAGATTTGCAATTTGCGTCTGCCTTCTCGAATAAGAGCAAAGGAATGCAAATAGATCACGTAGGAAACAAAAGTTCTGTCAAGATATGACAATAGCTTGGGGAGTAGGGTGATGGTGGTAGTGGAAGAAGTAGATAAATTCAAGAGATACTCAGAAAAATCTGATGATGTGTTGTGTACAGGGGCTGAGGGAGAGCAAGCTGTCCAAGAAAACTTCTGGGTTTCTGATTCACATGACTGTACAGAAGGATATCTATATTCAGGAGAGATCTGCTCCAGAAACATCTTTAAGGTAGTTGGGTTACTTACCCTCAAAAGGACCAAAAAGCATAAATGCATTTTACTTTTGCCTGAACCTGTGTTAACCCAGTGTGATCTGCTACTTTACTTATGATACAGGGTTCCAAAAGACTTTTTGCTATTTCTGAAAATCAAATTGACTCTCAAAAGTGCAAAATGCTTCCAACACTGAAGATATTTCAAAGATTCTGCCATAAGCTTTGAAATCAACTCCAAATGAGTTCTAAAACTGGTTTGAGCAATGGGGCAGCATTATGGAATGAATGTGTCATTTCCCATGATGACTACTTAGATAAGACTAACGAATTTGCTGCTGCTTAAGGTAAACATTTTAAATAAATCTTAACAGTGAAGAGTGCTCTTATGTGATATTAAACTAAAATATGACATTCTATCAGGCATTACTATTGGAATTATGCTATTTTTCTTTCAACATTTTGAAATGCCTGTAGAAAATTTGACATTTTGTAGGTTTAAAAACCCCACATTCCTTGTTGATCTTAATATGTATTTTACTGTTCCCATCCAGTTCTTGTTAATGCCCATCACGTTACTCACTGTAAAAGATTTTTACTAAACACACTGGTATATGTATATATTCTAGGCAGAGTAAAGCACTGACTTTATCAATACTTCAATACTTAAATATTTACTTTCCTTAGTTTTAATTTTTTTTTAATGTGCACCCTAGTGCCACTTTCATAGTGGAATACTAATGCCTTGAAGTATTAGAAACATAGAAACTCTAATCCAAGGAAAAGAACTGAACAAGTGTTGCCTCTTTAAAATCAATCTAAAACATCACACCATAGTACTGAAGTATTTCCCTAATTCTGAAACGAGAGGGGCTCCTTGGCCATCTGCTTGCACTAGGCCCTGACAAGCATTTTATTAACACTCAACTGCAATTACCAGGATGTTACCACTGCTTGTACAGAGCAGAATTCTTTTTTTCTCCCATGCTGATTTTATCTCAAGGCGTGAAAAGGCAAGACAGTGGTCTGAGGCCAAATGTGAAAAATGTCATCTCCACAAATGAGGAGAAAAGTCAAGAGCTTTTTAAAAATTAGTTTGTAAAACCAGACTGTCTCCAACCTAGAGACTGTGCTACCAAAAGTGGTCCTTAGGAATAAGGGCTGAAGAGCTTGAAATGAGTTACCAGTATGGTTCATCTTTTTTATTTCAGGGTTTTTGTTGTTGTTGTTTTAATATGAAATCAGACTATGGCTATATTTGAGCATAGCCAAGGCCGGGGATGGGCAGTGCCAAGGAAGAGACAGTGAAAAGGCTTTAGGGTTCCCAATCTCAGCCTGCAGACTTTCCGATCTTCCTCTGAAGGAGCTGTCCGTGTCTCCCCAGAAGGAAGGTGGGGGAGGGAAAGTTACAACGCCCCTGGGCTTTTCCCTTACCCAAACCCCCAGAATGACACCGCAAACCACTTCCTTCTGGGAACTGAAGGTCATAAGCTTTAAGGGACAATGGAGCTCAATGTAGGCTCCAGAAAGATGGAGACAGCGAGATGTGATGGGGGGCAGGGAAGTGGGGGTGAAGGGATGCGCCCAGTCTGAGAGAGCTGAATAGGGCGGTCCAGGCCAGGGACTTCGGGAACATGAAAGGGCCTGGATCTTCCAGAATCTGCCTAAGTAGGCCTCCCACAGCCCAATCTAGGGCATCTATGTACCCAGTGCCTATCACCACTCTCCTCGGGAGGGGGGATGGTACCCGCAAGGGCCCTCCCCCCAAACTGGGGCTTTGCCTGTCCTTAAAAAAAACCACAAACCCTCAAGTAAAAAAGCTGAACATTTATAGGGGTGGAGGGGCCAGAGGACAAGTAGGTGTTCAGCAAACCTACGGGTTGGGGGTGGTCAGAGGGACAGGGAGGCCCCCCCGGTCCGAGGAACTTTAATTACCACCGGAACGGGGGGAGGGGGCGATGTGAGGCCCGCAAGCCTCAAGAACAGAAGTGGCCGGGAGCCGCGTCCAGCGGCGTCCGCCGGGTCAGGGACTGACGGCCTGGGGCGCGGTCGCCGGGGGCCGTGGAGCGCGCCGCCTCGGCGGGCAGAGGCCGGCCTAGGCCTCGGGGGTCCGGACACACCCACCGCCACGGCCAGGGGCCCGCTTACCTGCTCCTCCTCCGGGGTCAGCTCCGGCGCCATGTCGGGCTGGGGCGCGGTCGCGGGCTCCATCCCGCCGCCGCCGCCCGCCCGGCCGACCGAACGCGCCTGGGAGCGCTGGGAGCCGGGTGCCGCCGGACGCCGCTTCCGCGTCTCCGCGCCTCAGCAGCGCGAGGCCGGCTCGCGCATGGTGGGGCCGGTGGGGCCGGCGGGGCCGGGCAGCCGCGGCGGCCGCGAACGCCGCTTCTGTCTCCTGAAGGAAAAGCTCTCACAACTGTCGCTCTCTTCGGAGCGGAAATCCTTTTTTATTTTCTTCGTTCCTTTCCCCGCACTCCCCCTCCTTTCCCGGAAAAAAAACAAAACCAAACCAAAGTGCCGACGAGGAGCTAATAGTCGAGCGGGATTTAAAAAGGAAATAGGAACTCAAGAACTTTCTACGCCCAGAGCGGAGGGTCGCGGCGGAAATTTTCCGAAGGCCGCTGGCCTCCTCGGCGTCCTGCCTTCCCCGGCCGCGCTCCTGCTCCTCCAGAGCGTGAGGAGTCGTCCTCGGGGCCCCGGCGACCTGCGCAGCGGCCTCTCAGCCCCGTTCCTCAAAAGCCGCGGCGGAGAGAGGGAGGGACGAGGAGAGAGAGCGAGGAAGAGGCGCCCCCCTCCGGGCTCAGGGCCAGCGCTGCGGCCGCGCCGCGTCCGCCCGAGCCCCCCGCGGCTCCATTGAGAAACCGAGCGCCTCATTCACAAACAGGCGGCGGAGAAAGCCGGCCGCGCGCGGACGCTGTCCGGGAGGGGGAGACAGAGAGGAGCCCGGGCAGGGGAAGCAGGGGGAGGGGGAGGGGAGACCGGAGGGACCCGCGCGGGGAGGGGCTTCGGCGTCTCCGGGCTGCGGGGAAGAAGAACGAGGGAGAAAGGGGCGTGAGTTTTACGGTTCAGCTCCGTGGAGGAGGAAGAGAATACATTCGTTTGAAAACGAGCTGCTGACGGGCACCTCGCCGGAGTTATTAGCTGCTACCCCCGACGTGTGAGGGGCCCACCATCCTCGTCTAGCTCCATGTCACTTGTGACTGGAAGACCCTGGAAATGTTGCCTGCGAGTTCCAGGATGTCTGGTGAGGGAACAGACCCTGCTCATCGAGGCGCGCGCGCTCTCGTTCTCTTTGCTGGCGGTATCCTGTAATCCCTCGCCAGTACAGCTGATTTTAGTACCTCACAAGAACAGCAACCGATTTCAAACTTCATTCAGGAATCACGCAACCTTTGCAAACCTTGGATTTTCACTCTGGCAATCACAGCAAAGAGCTTGGGGGTGTTACAGGATACAGTCTTGGAGTCAGTTTGAGAGGCACAGGGAAGGCAGGGCTGGTCCGCTGTGTTGTTGTTGCATCATTTCAGACCAAAAAGAAATATTCCAAAAGGGATCCAGCTAACAAGCAACAGGTAGTCCCAAGGGCTGAAGCCCTGGAGAGCTAGGAGAGAGACCCAAGGGAGAGATCTGCAGACAACTGAGGAAGGTGCTCTGGCTTCTGATGCTCCTTCTAGGACTTCAGAAGCAACCTCTGACTTCACCTCATTTTTGCATCATTGCAACAGGAACTTCAGGTTGCCCTTGGTTAGAAAAGTATTGTGCACTGACTTGTCACGATTTCAAATCTATGTTTTGAAAGCTTGTTTTGGACAAAGTTATTTGTGGTTTGAATTTGTTTTGATGAAATTCTTTTGAAGTTGGGTATTAGGACTTTCTTATCGAACTCTTGCACCCTGAATGGAGAGGACCATTACGTCACTGACACCATAGTAACAGCAGTGGTGTCCATCATGTGATGGACTTTTAAACTTTAAAAACCAGGAGGTTTGACCAGTAACTCTAGAGTGTTCAGTTTGGGCAAGGCTATTCACTGACCTTAATGGCTCTCCAAAGATCTTGAGACACTTTGTTCCTACTGTGGCCAGGCCACTCATGGTTAGCAGTGGTGTTAAGCTGTACAGCAGTTTGAGGAAGAGAAGGAATATCTGTTCCAGCTGTGGCCAGGCTACTCCTTGTAGACAATGGCACAAGACTTGTAAATATTCCTGGAGTGATAACCTTCGGAGCAGCCCACTCTGCCTGCCAACACTGGTGCTGTAGCCTGCTAACCACATGCCCCAAGCAGAGAGGGACCAAACCTGGCAGCTGATAGCTCACTTTTATTTGGAAGGGCTGACTCTACCAAGAACCAACTGGTAGAAATGTACACATCATCTAAATTTGGACTTTATTTCTTTCATTGTCCCTTTGCCTGAAACAATAGTGTAATTAATCTATCATTGGTTTAGGGTATGTTATTTCTTTATTGACTTATTAAGAGACATTATCCTGTATGCTACTGGCTTGTGAAATATTATAAGTTATAATTCCTGCAGCGAACCTGTGTTAAATTATTGGCAAAGATAATCTCAGTCTCTGAGCATAATTTGCTATGAATAAAACAAGTAACCCCTGGTACTTGGATCTGTTTCTATCTCAGGTAAGTCATCACCCCATACAAGAGTTACAGTTTCAGTATTGCAACCAGATACTCCTCTGGATGACAGTCTATTTATTAAACAAGTATATTTTTATGCCATGCACTGGGCTATCCACTGGGGTTACTATAATGAAGAAGACATGGTCTCTTCCACATGTAAGGATATGGAATGATCCTTGAGTTATATTGTAAAGTGGAAACAGCAAGACTCAAATAGTGTACATAATGATGTCATTTGTACAAAGGAAAAAAAAGAACATATAAACTTACTTATAGATAGAAAAGGTTTGGCAGGATACACAAGAAAGGTCACTGCATCTTTCAAGAGGGGAAAGAAGGGAGAGAGAGACTTTTCCCTATATGGTCTTTTGTACATGTTAAATTGTTTGGTTGGTTTTTTTTTTTAACTTTTTATTGAAGTATAATATGCATACAGAAAGGAGAAAATGTAAGTATACAACATGATGACTTTTCACCCATGTAACCAGCACACAGATCAAGAAAGAGAACATTCCCGACTTGCCAAAGTCCCCCTTATGTCCCCTCCTAGTCCCTACTCTCCTCAAGACTAACCACTGTTTTGGCTTCTAATGGCATAATGTGTCTGTGTTTAAATTTTGCATGTGGATATATAACCTTTCCCCCCAAATTTTAATAATAACTTAAATATAGTTTTTCTCCCAGGCAGGCAAATGGCTCTAGGACTAAGCTGGAGTGGGGCGCCTGGGTGGCTCAGTCGGTTAAGTGTCTGCCTTCGGCTCAGGTCGTGATCCCGGGGTCCCAGGATGGAGCACCACTTCTCCCTCTCCTATACTCCACCCCCGCTTGTGCTCTCTCTCTCTCTTTCAAATAAATAAATAAAATCTTAAAAAAAAAAAAGGATGAAGCTGGAGTAGGAAATGGCAGGATCTGAGCAGTACACACCACTGAGTGGACACAGGAGAGGTTTTGCCTAGTGATGCTCAGGACACCAGGAGTCAGTGATTTATCCAGAGTCAGCTAATTGATTAGTATTGAGCTATAACTTGGATCCAGGCATTCAAACTCCTAGTACAGGGATCTGGTGAAGAGAGTTAATAAAGGGAAAGGTTTCACAGAGCGAGCTAGGAAAGAGAACTCAGCAGTGTTTTTGGAGGCACAGCTGTGTGTGTGGGCGTGTGGGTGTGTAAGGAAACAGTCCTCCAGAACTGCTTGCCTATCACAGTCCTAAGAGGACAACATTGGGAAGTTTCTGAGCAGACACATGGGTAAGAAAACTAAGTGCAAGGGAGCTGGCTGGATTTGCTCTGAGTGGTCATCTCAGGAGAACCAGAGTACAAAGTCTTGCCTTTAACCACAGGCTTGAACCAACAAAATCAAGTATGGTATTGTCATCCTGCTCAGTCAAATCTTAGAGAGGCCAAATGGTTTCTAATAGCAAAAGATTGGAAACAATATAATGGCCCATCAGTAGAAAACTCAATAAATAAATTATAGTACACATATACACTGAAATATTAAGTTCGTATTTATTCATTATGTCCCTATCACGTGCCAGGCACTGTTCTACATGACTTTCATTCATCTAATCTCACCATCTCAGTATGAGATAGCTGAAATTATCCTCATTTAAAAAAACATCAAGGTAGATCCACATGTATTGACATAGCCTCCTCAGATTTTTTAATGCTTGGCTACAGGGCCTTGGGAGGTAGGTGAGGGTAGGGTTGGGGGAGTGTAGGTGACAGACAAAATGAAAATTTTTTTAAGATTTTATTTATCCATTTGACACAGAGAGAGAGAGAGCGCGCGGCAGGCAGAGGGAGAGGGAGAAGCAGGCTCCCTGCCGAGGAAGGAGCCCAATATGGGGCTCAATCCCAGGACCCCAGGATCATGACCAGAGCTGAAGGCAGACACTCCAATGACTGATCTAACCGGGCGCCCCCCCAAATCACATTTTTATTAAGTTAACATGAACTGAAATCTGAAAGTAGAAAATAAATGACAAAGAGGGAACCTTGGGGGGAGGTGTGTTATGAATTGCACTTTTGTCTTTTGCTTTTAAAGCAAAGGTTTCAGGTCTCTGTCTAGAAAGCTTTTCCTCCGCTTCCTCCCACCTTCTTCACCAGACAAATGTGACTCATCCTTAAGGTCTCAGCTCAAAAGTCACTTCCTCAGCAAGATCTTCCTTGGCTACTCCCTAAACTGAATTAGACGCCCTGTTGCCCTCTCTCTCCCTCTTATTATTATTTTTTTTATCAGAGAGCCGATCACAGTTTCTAACTGTGCTCTTGTTTCCATGTCCATCAGCCTAGTCTCTGCCTGTACTACTAGACTATAAGCTCCAGGAAGGCAGGAACCACCTCTGTCTTGTTGGCCCCTGGCCCCTCAGAATCTAGAGCCTAGTACCTAGTAGGCAGGCCCTTCATAAATGTGTTAAATGACTGAATCAGTGAAGACAGCCACCTTACAAAAATAAATAAATGAAATAAAACTTAAAAAGATAGCCACCTTAACTCTGAGCTTGCCATTTTCTCCTGCCTTTCTTTTTTTTTTTTTTTAAGATTTTTTATTTACTTATTTGACAGAGAGAGAGACAGCGAGAGCAGGAACACAAGCAGGGGGAGCAGGAGAGGGAGAAGCAGGCTTCCCGCCGAGCAGGGAGCCCGATATGGGACTCAATC